CCCCTTTGCCTGCAAAACCCAATAAAACAAACTCATCTGCATTGGGGAAATCTGTTACTGGGATCAAGTCGGTCACTGGAGCCCCTTTGCCTGCAGAGACCATCAGTGCCAAGATAATAAATTCTCCTGTGGTGGAGAATTCCCATAGTGGACTTCAATCAGTCGCTGTAATGTCTTTGCTTCCAGAAGTAAACAGTGTCACGGATATAAATCCGCTTGAAGAGGGGACTCTGCTCCACTCACCTGGATCTCATAGGAACGTTGGAGACCTTGACATTGCTTCGGAACCTGGTAGTGATGATGATCCGTCTTATGGCAAGAACAATGAAATGAGGTCTGAGGAAAATTCATTCGGATTCGGATCTCCTAAGGGCGATGCTTTGGGACCTTCTGGGGAGGGTGCTTTTGGATCTCAATCAGACAATAGTTTGCAACCTAGTGATGATGGATTTGACGATTCGGAAGGAGGTTCTCATCAAGATGGTGATGATCAATCTGTGGAGGGGGACTTGGATAGTTCTGGTCCTGATGATGCAAGTTCCATTTCAGATGAGGCACTCAAGGTGCGAAAGTCATGTATGTATTTTCCCATTGTTGATAGCCTCTTGTGTAGATTATTATTTTCATCTCCCAACGTCTGCCTTATTGTTAATTAATCTCCATCTGTTTTTCTTAGCAAAACGAGATAAAAAAGAAGAAGACGAACTGGTCAGCATTGTTCTGATGAAGTTGACACAAAAGCTGGATGCAGTCTCGCTGAACCAGGCAGTCATTATTAGAGCAGTGGACCCTGACATGGCGAAAGTAATTAGGCCTGCGGAATTCCCACACACGCCGCTTGCAAAAGTTAAACACTTTGCTAAACTGGAAAAGTTTTTGAAAAATGCAACAAATTTTGCTGCAATGGTAAGAACTCTATCTTGTTCAAAGCTTCGATTTGGAATCAGTCTAATTCTATTAATTATATATTTATTCTTCCAGAGGGATAAAATGTGGATGAGTATTGGTGGCTGTGGGGATGAACGCAAGGCCACTGGGCGCATCCTCACTGACCTCTTCCAGTACTCGTGTGCTAAAGATGTCAGCTGGGGAGGAAGTAAAGGAATGAAATGTGCCTTTGGACAGTCTGAGACTTGTAAGGCATTATTTGGTAAGTATACATCCATTAAAGGGAGGTTTTATTTACCGTAAATCTGTTTACATTAATTCAACACTACCTTGCGGACTGAATGTCTCATCTGTCTCCCTTCACAGGTGCAATTGGTATGGCCTATAAAGGAACTGATTTGACACAGTGTGAGCTAAAAATTAAAGACTGGTTCAGGACTGCTCCAGCAGCATATGAGAGGTTGATGAAAAGAAAGATGTCCAAACAATAATTGACATTAATTTCTGTTTTGGATATAATATAATTTTTTGTTAATTAGTGTTCTGTTGTTTTCATACATGTTTATTTGTCGTTGTTGTTGCTGATGTTTTGACGTGCAAAGGCCATTGTTTTTTTAATGCATGTGATAAAATTGTCTATTAAGCAGTATTCTTATTGTGCAATGATTTTGTTGTGTTTTGCGCATTGTGCGAAGATCAATTCTTTTTATTTATGTGATACTATTGTAATACTTATAGTTCCTTATTGCTGTTAAGCAAAGACTGATTTTTTTGTATTGCATGTGATAAAAAATGAAAACTACAGATTAAATCACAAAATTCAGAATGAAAATGGTATCTCCTTCATTCTCGTCTATTCCACATCCTTCAAATTCAGAAAGAAACTCAAAATTTCATCGAATTGTAGTCACATCAAAATTTCATCAAATTGTAGTCGCATCAAAATTTCATCAATCAAATTATTGTCATATCAAAATTCCATCAATCTTGTTGATGATCAAAAATTCATCAAATCTTGGACGTTTTTGCATCAAATTTGAGAAATCAAATTGACCAATTTTTGACAGTCAAATTGACCTCATTTTGACGTCAATTTGATGGCTCATTGCTGGCTGGGTAATATTATACTTTTTCTGCGATGATCATCACAACATCTTGCAATATTTCTGTATCACTGAAAACGTACAGTCCTTATCACGCTCTGATTTACAGTGCCGTTGCGTGACGACTACCTACTCACCATTGGACATGGTGCTGCCCCTCTCCCTCACCCCTGTCGGTGCACAGGCGGTGTAAGTACTCGAATCGAGGTTATGTCGACCGGGTGCGAAACGAGTACGATTAAAGGCAGGCGCGTACCGGCTAGGCGGGTAAATGTGGCAGACCATAGGCCTTCCGATTCATGCCTAGCCTGCCCGTAACGATTTTCTGTGTTGCGCCGAAAATCGAACAGAAGCGCCGGAGCAGCGTCTGGCGCGCTATTATTGAGCTGGCGGAAAGGCATTATAGTTCGCGTTACGGGCACGCTAGACATGAATCGGAAGGCCTATGGCCCAGCCACATTTCCTCTTACAAGGGAAGGTTTTCCGGTGATACACTCAGATTTCAAAGGCGCTTTAAAGAGGAGTTGTTTGCACCCCTAGATTAGGTTTGGCACTGGTTTTAGCTGCCCGTAGAGAGTTTGAAGGCCGTTTTACCCTACCTTAATTGAAAATTCGCCAAATTTATAGCCTGATTATCAACTTTACATGCGCGTATCTCAAGAGCCGTTTGAGCTACAGCGCCCAGATTTTGAGGGAAATCATAATTTAGCACGCTCTTTACTTAAAGAAAATTTGAACGAAATCGATTAGGGTTTCAAAAACGGGTCCCGCGAGGAGGTTGCGATCTTTGACCCCTTTTTAGTGACCCCCCCATTGATTTGATTCAAATATTTTTCATGGAAAGTACTAACTGAAAGATAATGACCTGCAAAACCTGGGCGCTGTAGCTCAAATGGTTCCGGAGATATAAGCATGCAAAGATGGCTAAAAAGGGATGAATTGGAGAAATTTTTGATGAAATTTTCGTGAAATGACCTCCAAACTCCCTACGGGCAGCTAAAACCAGTGCCAGACACTATCTAGGGGTGCAAACAACTACTCTTTTAAGTGCCCTTGAAATCTGACTGTATCACCGGAAAACCTTCCCTTGTTAGCCGGTACGCGGCTACCATACAATAAATGCGATGCGCTTTTGGTTCGCGTATCGCAGAACGGTGGGTGGGTGCACGTTGTCACCGCAGACTTGTTCTATCATTGTCGGAGGGGGCCGTGGTTCGATTTGTGACCTGAAGTCCCAATTTTGAACGGCCTTCCTCCACGTAGCACAGTGGGACGGATCTCGAAAAAGGTGGACACAATTCAAATTTCTACAATATCACATTAACTTTTTTGTTCATACAGGGTGAACCTACAACCTTTAAAGCATCCAAAACGATTCTTCTCGCATTTTTCAATCAGTTGTGTCGTTTTCTATAAGCCCTCAAAGGTCCGTCACTAGAAGCGCAATCGGCGCGCTCCTTCCCGCGCAAATTACAAGTATTTTATATGCTGTTTTTCACTAAACAGGGACCTGAAGTCCGAACCAAAGTTAAGAGGGTTGTAGTTTGACATTTCGTCTTTTAAACTATGTTAGGCGATTTTAATTAATCCTGCGTTTGTGCGATAAAAATAGTGTTTTCTGGAGGCCTGCGACGAGTCTTCACCTCCTTTCCTATAACCGTTGAATTGAGTTACAAAACGATTGCCGCCGATTGCCGCGGTTTGGCGCACATCAAATTGAAGCTCAAACATTGGAGTTTTGATTCCGAGTGAGAACGGCTGCCGCAATCCGCCGCTTTAGCTTTGCGGAGCAAAATTAAAGAGGTGTTTTGAGGTTAGGAACGTCCCTCTCTTGAGTCAATTTTTTCAAAGTTTTACTGTCGTTTGGCGTTTCCAGGAGTCTAAATGTCGTTCAGTAAGAGATTGTTAGTGCCACAAATTCATTTCATAGGTTTCCCTTTCATTCGCGCATAGAAAAGGCCAGATATTTCGATCTGAAACTTACTCTTTCGGTCCACTTAACACATACCACACTGTGTGGAATATTTTAGGCTTTCCCCACTAAACAGGAGGGAATGCCTGGTCATTTGTAATCAACTTTTACTTAAACAACCCTTCAAGAAGGTTTTATTGGTTGGATGATTCCCAAAAATGAAAACTTATTGTAAAAAAGTATTTCATTTTTCATAAATTTCATTTTAAGTTCAAAATATCAACAGGAAAAGATTTGTAAGCGATGCTGTATCATTTCAAAACAATATAAGCTCAATTTCAAGTCATAGAAGTTAATATTTGAATTATGTCCACCTTTTTCGAGATCCGTCCCACTGTGCGTAGTTATGTTGCAGGGAGGGAGGTAAAGAACGAGTAAAAAGCGAGGGGGCCACCACTCGCGTAATCCTGTGTACAGGTGAGGGTGTACTTTCAGTTAACGTGCCATCGCCATCCTATTGGATGTCAAGTCAATGAATTTCTTCTCCCCCATTCGGTGGAATGGCCTATTTGTTGACGAGTTATCGTGCAAACGGGCGGATGGACAGCCATAAAAAAAAATCCGACCATACCAAGTAATAGGCTTTGCTATCGTTCAGCCAAAAATTGGAACTGAACCAATAAGTCAATCAATCGCACAGTCCTAACAGTCCTAAAACTGTTCCAGGCAATCTATACCGGCACCAATATGTCGTTCGACTTTGATTTGATCGCAGCGGCTCTGGGAGTACGTGACGGAGCTGGTGTGTGGGGCTTAAAAGGTTTTCTGCGCGATGAAAATAGTGATGTGCATGCTTGCTTTGATATCTTTGTAGAATTAATACGAATAAAACGTAAACACTAATATTGGTCTTTCATTGAAAACCGTCCTTTGCCTACCTGGTTTCTGCTTAGAAATGGAAATGACCCTTCGAAAATGGGACGAGTGCGCTACGGGTGCGATGCGAGCGTGAGTCGAGGTCGAGAGCACGGCAAGCGCGGATTTAATGCGAGACGAGTGCACCACGCGAGACCGCAGCGAGAGCGGAGCAGGAGCACACAATCGTCTTCAGTCCGTCCCTCATGCGTATCGTAGTGGACTTACACCTGTACATCGTTCGTCCAGCGCTGCTAGCGACGAATGTGAGTCAAGTATTTTTTCCCGGGTATTTTTGACCAATTTTTTTTTACATTTTCATACTGCTGGGCATATTGCTGGGCATTGTTGAGCGCCCCTATGTAAGCCCGGCGTCCAGGGGACGAGGCAAGTGCGCAAGGCAAAGTAATAGTCTGAATGTTGTCTAGAACCTTGTCGATGGTGACGGTTAGTTCGTAGATCCCGGGTGGAAGGATCTTTAGTTAGACTGTAGACTGCAGTCTTGGAACTGCAGTTGCAGAGGAGAAAGGAAAGAGAAATAAGTATAGTTAATACACTAGTTTGGCAATTGAGTTTTCAGATATTTTATTATGCTACTTTTTCTGTAGTTTTCCACCAGTCGTACCGAAGTTTTAAGACAGTTTTAAGACCAATTTACTATCGAGTTTCGTGTTTCACACCTCTGATAGTGTGACGTAAATGACACCTAAATGACACCAAACTTAATACAAATTGCAAATGTAGCATTGGCGTAGTTTCAATTTCAAATAATTTATGGTTTTTTCGTAAAACTTTCACTGACGCCCCGTCGCCATGAAGTCCGACGTTTGATTACTTGAAATGAATACGTATAGCTCCACAACAAACACCAATATAGTTGACTTATCAAACAATAAAAATAATCACCGAATTTTCAGTAGTCGGGAGACATTTCTTGAAAGATTGGCATTTCAAAACAAAGAGACTTAAGTTAAACTATGTTTAAACTGTAGTCACACTATCATTCGGGTTCGGACTGCAATAGGGGGCTTGGCTAGGCTCTGAGGCACATCGGGTCACGGCACTCCTTCCCGTAGCGTGGTGCCATAGCCTGCGTCGAGTGGCAGCAGCACCCAACAACAACATGGCGGCACGGCAGCACGGCAGGCAGCGGGGAGCAGAGGAGAAGACAAGCGGACGACGAGGAAAGAGACAAGAAATAAAGAAAAAGAGCAGAAGAGAGAAGGTTCGACGGGTCGGCTTTCCGTGACGGAAGAGAGGAAGACGGAAGAGAGGAAGACGGAAGAGAGGAAGACGAAAGCGAGGGAGAAAGAAAAGAAGAGCAATGAAATTAACTGAATCTTATGTAAATGGAATTTACTTTGAATTTTTAAATGAGTGTCTGTGAAAAAGAAAATGAACTGTAAGTTTTGAATAAAGAACAACTGAAATGTGTACCAGGTTGACACGAAAGAGACAGAGTGTAAATAAGGGGATTGCCGTGCGAGCAGTGCGCGGCATGGGGTTGCACCGCAAGTTACTCTGGTGCAGGGAGTATCGCCATGCGATGTAAGGGGAGGGACAGTTTTTTTTTTTTTTTTAGT